TTTCCCCTGTTTGTTTATTCTGAAAAAGTCTACCATTGTTTCAGTATTTTTTGGCACATTTATATATATTACCTGTAATTTTTAGTACACAATTTTCGGATAGTTACAGTAAATTCTTAATTTTTCATGGTGTTGTAGGGTGGGATAGCTTGAACTAGTGAAGAACATAGATATTCCAAACTTCATTTGCCATATATTTAATCATTTTCTTTTGCTAAACTCATTCCTTCAGACCTGTTAATAATTAGCAAAATTGCTTGAGTTGTGCTTATCTCCAGAGTAGATAACTAAAAACGTTGACAGGAGGGAGATCTAAATTTAAGCAAGTAGACAACAACAACATCAAGGGTAGACTGTGAGGTGATGTGTGTGTTACATTTACATATGGATTGATACTTCACAGAATGAATTTCCATGGTACTGGGATTACACTGGGCATCTATGTAAGAATGCTCATTTATGGAACCCTAAAAGGATTTCTTATGGTGTTTACATCAAAACAGATAGTTGGCAGAAATTAAATGTGTATGTTTAATGTTTTTATAAAAGATAAAATTTCTCTTGAACTATTTTATAGTGTCTGTTTTTCAGCTTGAACATGACAGTGCCAGGTACACAGTAGATGCTTAGTAAGTATATGGTGGTGATCTTCACCTCTAACCTCTGTTCAAATGGAGATCAGTGTTGTTGTGGAAGAAAATTGCAATATTCATTATTTTTATTATGGTCTTCATCACTGAAAGTCACTGAAAATAGTAAATGCTAGCAGATTTTTTTGTTGTTTTGAGACGGAGTCTCACTCTGTTACCCAGGCTGGAGTGCATTGGTACGATCTTGTCTCACTGCAACCTCCACTTTCTGGGTTCAAGCATTTCTGCTGGGGTGATGGGTGCATGCCACTATACCCGGCTAATTTTTGTATTTTTAGTAGAGATGGTGTTTCGCTATGTTGGCTAAGCTGGTCTCGAACTCCTCACCTCAAGTGATCTGCCCACAGAGGCCTCCCAAAGTGCTGGGATTATAGGCCTGAGCTACTGTGCTGGGCCTCTAGCAGGATATTTTTAGATTATTTGTCAGATTCATCTGTCTCTTTTTAAGTCATTTATTCATTTCCTAACTCTCCATCTTTTTATTTCTTCTCCTTTTAATTATATTTGACCTTTTTCTGCATTTTCTTAAAACATATCTGTACTTAATGTCCACTTAAATATTAACAGTTTTTGGGAGACTTAGAGGAAGATATGAAATAATCTCTTTATTACAATAATAGTTGAATAGTTACTCTACAGGTGCACATTTGTATGTGTGCACAACACTGTGCCAAGCTCGTTGAGGTTTAGAAAAATGAAGAAAACCATAGTCCTTGCCCTCGGGGAGCATATATAGTAAGAGAGAAATAGAGGAGGTTATGGAAGTAGTTTACATGAAGTACACAAGTGTGTGTACTATAATATAACTCTAGAAAAAATGCATTAAGAACACAGCAACTAGAAACTGCTGTTGCCTGCTGTAAGTTCACATAGGGAGACAGCATAGTTCTGTGGAAAGGAAATTGCAGGAAGAATAAAGAGCTCTGAGTTCAAGTCTTTTTGTCACTACCAGCTGAGAAATGCTGAGCACATTCTCTTTGGTTTTTTTATTTCTATAGCTTCAGTTTTTTTCTGTCTGTATAGTAGATTTTAACTAAATCTATCAGTTTCATAAATATTGTGGTATAATAGCATATGTGCTTTACCTTCATAAAAGATGTGTCTTTTTCTTTTACTTACTGCTGAGTAATATTTTATTTTCAACCATGGTTAGGGAATGTAATAATTTAACCAAATTAATAAAATAAGATTAACTGATTAATGCAGTCACATGGACTGATTAGTGAGGTATTTAAAGTTCTTTATTCTATGACATATGTGCTATATGGAGCATTTTAAAACTTTAGGCCATATAGTCTGAATTTTTAAAGTAAACATCTAGACCTGTCGGAAGGGATGGGCAGAAACCAAGTGACACTGCCTCAGTACTCATCTCTTTTGGAGATAGCCATGAACCTGACTGGCTTTTCTTAGAAGCTGTTGAAAGCATCTAGAGGTGATCTTGTGATGCTTAACTTGGGAAGCAAAGACGTGGTCTTTGGTTTTTGCTTCTGAAGTTTTTTTTCCTCTTTTATATTAAAACAGCTTTAAGCTTATAGCAGGTCTCCAATCAGTGTTTAGACTATTAGGAAATTATCAGTTCAAATGCATCTAGCCTGTTTGTCTTCCTGTTTCTAAATTGGAAGTGAGAAGCGGCTAATTAGCTAAACTTTAGGCTCGCATATCTGAACAACTCAAAAATAGAATGTGTAATATATATGCTAGTGCCCCTTGAAATAAATCTAATTTTTAAAGATATTTTAGTTGTGCTGAATTAAAAGAATATTCTAAGTTTATTTTATAAGTTGCTCTAGTATATCATACAGTGTTTTGGTTTCACATTAAACACAAATAAAGGCACCTGGGAGACCTGATGCAGAATGTGACAAAATCAGAGATTAGCATAGTCACTTTGTGAAGCCATTTTTTCTGTTCAAAAGGAACCAAAATATGCTTTATCTGAAGCCGAAGGATGTTGACAAATAAAATGAAGCATTTGGAAATTTTTAGGAGGAGGATGCTGGCAGCAGATTGCTTAGAATTTTACTCACTGCCTTTTAAAATGAAGAACAGATACTACCAAACTTGAAGCATTTTATTTTGGTTTTTTAATTGGTATGTAGACCACTGGCCCTTTCTATCCAGACTACAGACATTGATGGAAAAGTTGGGCAGGAGTTACCTGGCTGATGTGTGGATTAATGCAGTAGAGTGCTTTACCTAATGCATATTGCCTAAAGCACAGGTGTTTCTTTTGTTGGTTGAATACTGTCTGATTTTCCTTCCTATGTAATTTACCTGCATGGAGACTAAGAAAGCCCCCTTTTATTAAATAAGCTTGAAAACTAGATAAATACACTTAGGCTCTTCGGTAGAATGTATTGGATAGCTAGCTCCCTTTATAATGAGCATTTAAAAATCTGCCCTCCAAAAACTGGAAAATTCATTCTCTGCTGTATGGAAAGCAATATAGCACTGAAATATTCCTCCTTAATTTTGGTCTGAACGAACAAAAGTGTCTGTGTTTATTCCTGCCTAATGCATCACAAATCTGCTGACATGCTAACCTTGGAGTCTTGGCTGGCGTTAATCAGGCCTGTGCACCGGCAGGAAAGATGTACCTAATGCACTCCATCAGTGCAGTTTGCATATGGAAGTTCTCACAGGGGAGCTGCCCTGTGCCAGCTGAGGGTTACCTGCCCACTGCAGTTATTGTATGTAATTATCGAACCAATCTGTTCAGCCCAGCAGGGTTTAGATGGTAATCATGAAGCAACACTTCGGAAAAGAAAGATGTAAGGCATTCTCCCCTTTTCTCATCAGTTATGTGTAGTTATAGCCACTCTCACAGTTATTTTTGAGAGGCAATACCTCCATATACAAATCTGCTAAGTGAATGCCTTTTAAAGTTTTTCAAGGTTTAGTATATGTGAAGCATTTTCTTTAGGAACGTGGTGGGTATCTCTGAGTTCTAATTTTCCACAGCCACCTTAAGAATGTTTTGAAACAGTGGGATTAATTGTAATACATAGATAATAACAGTTCTGACCATTTGGAGGTTTTAAGATAATGTGGCTTGAATAGATTTCAGCTTTCCCATGTAGCTCTCTTTGGAACAGAATCCATGGTTGCCATTAGGAAAAGGAACAATGTGCTGTCAGCAGGTATTATCCTCTTTTCTAGCTGTACACAAAATGGCCTGCAGCAAGGAACCTTCTCAGATGAAGTTTAACTTACTGTTAATTGTTAGAAAATATAAATGAGGACATTCTGTTGCATTGTGAACCTGTGAAATTTGGGCATATCAGATGGTTTTCTAAATGATACAGACTTATTTTAGGCAACCAGGAGAAGCTTTGGATTAAAATTTGGATTTCAACCTGTTTAAATTTGAAACTACACAAGATAAAGTTATATAAAAAATTCAAATTTTGTATTTATTACTAATGTCCCTCTATAATTTTACCTATGTATAGAGATGCTGGAGAATTTAGAAACTTCACACAGAACTGGGTATGTTAAAAATGTGGTATACTGGCAGAAAGTAATAAAATGGAATTGAAGGACCATTTGGGAAGAATGGATGGTGACAGAATATAAGCACTGACTCCTAAATAACACTTCACTAGAAAAATAGGACAGGCCCAAGAGAATATGGGAAATCCAGACGGTTTTTGAGATTTTAGGAGAGCTTTGTACTTTTAGGACTATTCATTTACTGTAAGGTTGATGGCCCTCTTTAACTTTTAATAAAAAGGATGCTAAAAGAGAAACATTTATTACAAGTTTTCCATTATTGATTCATAAATAGAATTTTACCACCGATGTTATGTGGTACAAACACTGATGCAATGTATGGGGCAAGACATATATTTTTCCATTTATTAAATAGATTGTCCTTTCTTCACCTCACCCACATTGTACAATGTGAAGAGTATCATTGGCCTGAGGGTGATAGCGAGTTTGTAAAAAATTTTGTTTTAGAAGAGTTTCTGTATGATCAGTCCTGATGGTTAAAACATAGCTTTCAATAATGAAGTATATAAAGCATGAAAAGTTGGAGGTGGATATAACAAATATTCCTTCCATCTGGGTTAACTGTCTAGCTGAAAGTTCTCTGATTCCCCGTTTCTTTTATCTTTCATCCATTCCTTTAGGTAACCACTATCCTGAAGCTGAGAATATTCTTCCTGTGTATTTTGACACACACACACACACACACACACACACACACACACACACACACACCCCTACCCACCCACCCATCTACCCATCTACCCACACACCAATATGTGACAAGTTTGTCGTTTATTTGACTGTCAGACCATATCTCTTTTTCTCTCTCTCTCTTAAATTTTTATATGTAAGAAGCGAAAGAAAGAAATTGAAGAAAGCAAGGAATCTGGTGTTGAAGATATGGAATGCTCAAATACACAGACAGAGGAGCCCATACAGACCCGTAAGTTGAACAGTTTTGCCTAGCGGCTTCCATATGTAAACATACATTTCATTTCCTCTCACTAGATGAGGGGTCAACTATTTCGGTCATGACCTTTTGATTTTATAATAAAATACCATCAGATCTTTAAATGGTATGTATCGCGGTGTCTTTTGTACACAGATTATTTACTCTCCACAATAATTACAAAGTTGAGACTGGAAAGTTTCCTTCATTTTGCAGATTTGGATGGCAGAGCTGCCAGCCATGGTGACGTGTGCCTGTGGTCTCAGTTACTCAGGAGACTGAGGCAGGAGGATCACTTGAGCCAGGAGTTTGAGTCCAGTCTGGGCAACACAGAAACCCCATCTCTAAAATATATATAAATAAAATAAATGACTGAGCTGTCATGAAAGGGTTAGTGATAGAGACCATAACTCTTAACTCTCAGGCTAATATCTTTCCACTTCCTCAAATTGATCCCACATACTCTGGTTATGATAGTGAGTGTCAGGGGTCATACATGGGCTTATTGCAGCTGAGCTGCCTGATTGTTCCTTATAAAGTTTGTCAACTTCTTTTTTTCTGAGCAAGTTAAGAGGAAAGGAATTAAAGCTTTGTGGATGATCACTTTTCAAAGTTCTTAAAGCAAAAAAACAAGGTATGAAGTCATTTCTGAGATGGCTTATAAACTGGCACTGAAGGTACTTCAGTAATGGAGTAGTTCCAGAAATGACATTAGCAAAACCAGCATCTGCAAAGAGCAGAACTGAGTTGGACTTTGGTCTGATATCTTAACTGCCAGCCAGTGTGTTCCAGGATTCACATGATACGATGATGTACTTGACTCAATAAGGAGAGTTATTCAGTGTGGCCCACATTACATTTTGTTTTTTAAAGATTTCTCCTGTCTGCCTTTTTTTGAATGATTTTTTTTTTCATCCTGAAATATTTCTTGGTTTCTAACAGAAAAGACTTATTTTTGATTTTAAAAAAAACCTTTTTTTTTTAAAGCATAGGTGCCGTATTGAGTAAGACCAATCTATTTTCCCTTCCTTCTGTTAGTGGCATCAGTGCATGTTTGTGGAAAGCAAAGTGTTCAACTTTCAAAGAGAATCATTTTTGGCCTGATTTTATTACTGTGTTCTTCGTTATGTATTATGATTAGAATATCCTTTGGTTTAATCTGCTTTAACCAAAGAATACTTTAGGTATCTGAAGAGGGAATATATAATTTCACACTGAAGGCGAAAGGTTTTGAAGTCGTCCCTCTCCTTTTTCTGCCGCCATTTTCCATTCGCTACTGTCTTTTTTTCCTTCTTTCCCCTGTCTTGTTCATTTTGTTATTAGGAAGTGAGGAGTCCCAAGGAGCATGGAAGCATGTCTCAGCCAGAGGCTAGCTGCAGCAGCTATGACAGTGAGTGGGAACAAAATTAAGGAGCATTTATAAAGATACAGTAATATTCTTAAAAAACAATCCCTTAAATTTTAAAACTGGCAAGTTTAGTTTTGGTAGATCCTGAATTGTTTTAGTGAGATTGACACTCATTAAGTCTAAGACAGAGTCTCAGCTGCGCATCAGGAAGGCTCATTCCTCTTGACTGCTTGGGCATCATTTGATACCTGAACTTTGCTTAATGAACGTCAAGGGTTTTATTTTGATAGATAAATGCTTTTAAATTCTAGTATAATTATGAAAAATTTTTAACCTAAATTTTTAGTGTAAGGCTGTCTGCTGATGGTTTTTCCCATGAAAAATTTACTTTCCCCCTCCTGTTCATAAAATGGAGACTGCTTTTGTTGGTATTGATTTTGGACCATTCCTGAGGAATCTTTGGAGAAAGCATGACTAGTCAAATATATGAGTATTTTTGTTATCTTATTAATGAGAGAAGAGTAAAGTCATAAATAAGAACAATTCAGTTTGTTTGACATAAGTTAAGAAGATAAAGAATAATCAGATTCACCCTTAATTGTATAAACGCAGAATTGCTTTTCTTAAAATGCTGTTTATTTCCCCCATTACAGTTCACTTTTTTCCCCCTAAAGTACAAGGCAAGTTAAGGTATTTTACTATCAAAATAATAATAAGTGAGAGAAATATTATCTGATGGTAAAATGTTATTGCTTCCAGCAAAAAAAGCCAAGAGTTCATGTAAATATGTATTTTTAAGTTTGTCCATTTAAAGTCACTTGAAGGAGAAGACAAATTATTACATATGATTTTTAAAAAATTTTCCACGATATATAATACAATTCAGTGAATTCTGTGTTTTAGGGCTTTAAGATTTTCTGTCATAAACATGTTTCAAGAATGGTTACCTCTAACAGCAGCCTTAGAAATGTCAGTTTCTTCATTAACAATTTTATTTTCAAACACAATTTGTGATTTACAATATGGTAAGAGATTTTTCTCACTGTGATCTTTCATAATACTGTGCCTAGCAAAATGGGAGCAACTTTCCTTTAATATCTATTTAGACCATTTTAAAAACATGTATAATTTTCTTGATACACCTGAACTCATTTTGAATAGTTGGGGGTCTATTGTGTAAGAACACATTCTGAAAGCTTTCAAAATGTGTATTGTGTAGGTTTTCTCAAATAAAGAGAGGAGGTGATGGGATGGTTTTCAAGAAGAACAGAGGCCTCTAATCCTTTTATTTTTATGCAAGGCATAATTTTTACCAGTTGAGAAAATTTGGTTATTTGCTGCAAGTAATTTTTCCCCTCACAAAATGATAGCCTTTAAAAATCATACATATTCTGGCATTTCAAAATCTTGCCAATATTTTAGAATTGTGCTAAAAATTAGCTAATATAGCCATGATATTTATGGCTGGTGTGCTTTCCCCCTCCTGTTCATAAAATGGAGACTGCTTTGGTTAGTACTGATGTTGGACCATTCCTGAGGAATCTTTGGAGAAAGCATTTTTGACTAGCCAAAAAGTAGATATTTTTAAGGGAACCCTACAAAGAAATTTTCTACCGTTTTTTCCCTACTGCATTACAGAACCGTAGAAGAGCATCCCAAACGTGTATGTTATTTTCCACATATCATATTATTACATTAGTCTTCTCATTGGACCCTTTGCCAGTAGTGTATATTAGGAGAATGGTTAGATTTTAAATTAAAGAGATAAGAAGATTTTTTTCTGTAACCATCAGAATTGATTATTAGGGAAAATATTGAATGGATATTTGCAGCAAGGTACATAGGACTGATTATATCAATTTCAGGCAGTAATACCACTTTTAGTTGCAGTGAGAAACTTTAGATTGACAGAGATAAGCAGCAATGATATTTAATTTCAGAGTGAAAGGGCAAATTAAGACATTAATGAGAATAATGTTATTTAAATATAGCTCTATAGTTGTTACTTTAGTGTTCTTTGGAGTGTGGTTAAAGATTGAAAATGTATTGAAAGGAGATAGAAGTATTGATTATTGACCTTGATTTTGTAATACCCCTTTATGGCCATCTCGCTGTCACAACATTTTCAGTTTTCTGTGCAGAATTAGTTTCAAATTTCTTGAAACAGGCCAGGCGTGGTGGCTCATGCCTGTAATCCCAGCATTTGGGAGGCCAAGAAGGGCAGATCATTTAAGGTCAGGAGTTCCAGACCAGACTGACCAACATGGTGAAACCCCTGTCTCTACTAAAATACAAAAATTAGCCCGGCGTGGTGACAGGCGCCTGTATTCTCAGCTACTCTGGAAGCCAAGGCAGCAGAATCACTTGAACCCGGGAGGCGGAGGTTTCAGTGAGCCAAGATCACGACACTGCACTCCAGCCTGGTGACAGAGCGAAACTCCCTCTCTAACTAACTAGCTAACTAACTAACTGGTTTCTTGAAATAAAAACCTAAAAGTCTATGGTGGGGTATTTTTAATAGAAGGCTATGTTACCGAAATTGAAGAAAAAACTCAAATTTTAAAATCAATCTTAGTACAATATATAGGGTATGTATTATGAGTGGCAGAAAAAAGGCTATTCATATAGTTTGTTGTCATTGAACTGTATGGCGATTATATAGAAACTATATATAATTTGGAAAAATTAAAAATGCTAGTTTTGAAACTGACCTCTATGTTTAAGTAAGTAAACCCATAATCAGAAAACCTTTAGATATATGCGGTAGAATTTTGTTCCACATTCAAAGAATGTTTTGTACTTTTGAGAAAAGAATTAGTGATCTTTTTGTTCTTTTGTGCAGTCATTAATTGTGAGCACCATGCTTTCCCTCACTCCGGTGGCTCTGCTCTTTCCTGGCAGAGCGTAACATGCAACAGTGGGAAGGAAATGGCCCTGCATCTTTTGGCAGTACTAGGGAGCCATGATCAGGCCGACTGCTGCGCCCAGAGGTGGAGCAGGAGTAGTAGGTGGGCTGAAATGTCTTCTTGGTGAGGCAGAATTCCCATGCCCCCAACAGAGAGTCACTGATTTATTCCAAACCAAGAATAGTTAGATAGAAGCTGTCATAAGTGACTTTAGACCAGTATCACATATGATCCTTTTCTAGGAGGCTACTCATTTGGGATCTATATAATTCCTCGTGGAAAAGACATTCCATTTCAGAACATCCCAGTACTCTCCTGCCTAAAGGCTGTAGGTAATAGGCTTTAAAAAGCAACTCATTCCCTTGCTTTTCATAACATGCATGACCTCACCTCTTCCCCCTGAGGAATGAATGCTTATCTATATTGCTAAAGTTTATACGTGTGGAGATAATATTTTAAATTTTACAATAAATGTAAATTTTGGAGTAAATGATTTCAGTATTAGTAAAAATTGGATACATTTTATAAGTCAAAGGATTTTTACATGGCTTAAGACTAGAAGGTAGGTTTCGTCCGCATATTTTTTGACATACTAAAAAATTGACCCAATTTTCTAAGATTTTCAGGGTGTTAGCATTTATACCTTTGTGTGTCAGTTTTATCTTTGCACATCACCAGACTCAATTCGATTTTAAAATGTTAATAACTTTAGGGATATTTATATTTCTGTTCTTTTGCTTTCATAAATTATTGATTAATGATTTAAGTTTCTTTGATTTGTCTTCAAGGTTCAAGAACCACAAAGAGAGTCCAGAAGTAATTCAGATGCTGTGAACCAGCTTCTCTTTTCGTTGCTTTCATTTGACTTTTTTCTCCTTTTCTATTTGAAAGTGTTTTATTTTCATGTGAGTCTTGCGAAGTGGAAATAATAATTAAATACCCCGTGTGTTTGGAAAACAAACTTTTTTATAAAAATAATAATTTGTACAATTTATTAAAGGCTAATTTATGAAATTTCAAAGTCTTCAGGTTGTACTCCCTAAGTTATTCCAAAGGCGTGTGTTTTTGATGTTTTGGAGTACATACATACGAAAATCACTATGACATGCACTTTTCTAATCATTGTACATTTCTCAGAGTGGATAAAAATGTTTGACAAAGTCCTCACTTTTAAGGAAATGCAAAGCTTAAAATAAAAATCTCTTTTGTTTAATACAAATGCACAATATGTTGTAGCCATAAGGTTTGGTTTGTATTGATTTTGTTCTGTTCCAGAATCTTTTATTAAGCACCTGCTGTATGAAACAGGAAGGTACAAAGATGAGAAAGGAATAGGAAATAAAAAGTGGAGTAAGCATATCCATGAGGAAGAAAATCTACAAAGGTGAAAGTTAGATTACATAGGAATTATGTCAGTATGCGAGCTGTGTGACAAGAAAACCAGTGATAAATGATCCAGGGGTGTGTGATTAAACATTGTGTAAAGACTGGCTTCGTCTCAGGAAGTCCTGTGGCTAGAAATTAATATATCTAGTCTATTGTTCATTCACAGGAGTTTATTTTTCTTAAGGTTTCTCTTTCATAGCCTGTAATATTTGTACTGTAAACCAAGTGCTTCGGAGTTTCAGTGATGAGAAATTTTAAGATCTGGAATTTTTTAAGTTTCCTTGGGAACAAAAGCTTGGAATTTTAACATATTTATGAACAATTTCAGGATTCATTCCTCAAATTTTACTTGGTTAGAGAAATTGGGATCGGACTATAGTTTCTGATGGGTGGTATGCCTTACCACTTATAACGTGCACAGTGTGTTCAGAATGTATATGGACATGGTTTCGTTTAAATATTTAAGTATTTTAATATGTATTCATTATACAGCTAGCACATTAAACTGGTGATTTCTCTGCTACTTAGGATAAGCCTAAAGTAGGTATTTCAGTTTATAAAAGCAAGTTGATTTGAGGGAAAAAAATAAATAAATGTACAGGTGGGATATAGACATACCAGAAATTGTCAGGATGGTACCAAGTTTGAGAAACTATGAACCAATGTAAAGACTCTTTCTAACTTCTGGCCCTTTTATGTGGCTATTCAGTTGTCATGTGAAGCATTTATCACCAAAATGGTTAGATACTGAAAACTGCAAAACCTCTGCAGACTTTCCTTTGAAGATTAACCTTTTAATGCCTCCTGAAGTTCTAGAGCTACATATCTTTACAGATTAGAAAATTTGATTTTGGGTAGAGGCTCCTCCTGCTTTCTGTAGAATGTTAGGTTTTAATTCTCATCATTGTTAATGTCCTCAAGTTTATTTGTAACACCTAAATCAACTCTCAAATTCTGTTTTAAACACATTAATGCTTAAAATAGAATAAAACGTGTGTGGTGTGTTTCTGTATATGCCGTAGCGGCCTCATTTTTCAGAACACAAAAACAGCAAAACTTGTTGGTTAAATATTAAGAAAACAAATATTTCCTCACATATTGTTTTAAACAAGTGGTGGCATTTTTTGGATGTTACCATATTGGCAGGGCTACAGAATTGAATGAAAAACTACTAGCCATAGTAACCAGTTTGATTCGTTAGCTACATCCGTCGTTCTGCTATTTTATTCCCTACCTTGTACTGTTTTTTTTCTGTTCCCCTTTTAAGAAATGGTTAAGTAACCATGTCATTCAGTTATTTTTTTCCTTGTCCTTTTCAGTTCTATGTTTAGTATTTTTATTTTGCATTGTTTTTATTTTCTTTCTAATCCCTGTATGGAGTGGATTTGCCATTCTTTGTTCTCCTTTCACAGTCCAACTTGCATATTCTAACGTGTTAGTTCCATTTTCTCCTGCCTTCTCTGCCATTTTCCTTCGGTCCTTACTGAGCTGAGGTTTTTTAGTCTGTTGAGGATCAGCACCACTGCCAGGCTCTTGTCCTTCACACAACAGGATGTATATGTGCTCTACATTTTCTGGAAAGCAACTGATAAGTCTTTGGTAATTGACTAAGCCCTGAAGTGAAATAGCTTCTAGGTGTTCTTTAACAGTGATCTAAGACAAATCAAACACTAATAAGCCAGTTATAAAACCCTGATTATCTCTTTGAATTACTAAATTACGTGTGCATATAAAGACCCAGCTGCACAGCAATAAATTGCTGGAAATATAAATAATTTATTTGTATTTGTGTAGGGCGATATATATGTCCACAGTTGAACATTATATGTTGTTTATTCTTTAAAATTTTATTTTAATGCTCTATATTTTTGGATTATAGGAGTGTATTAATAATACATGGCCATCTAAAATAGTTTAGAATACACAGAAAAGTATCAATAGACAAACCAGCCATAATACTACCACCCACAGGCAACCACTATTAATGTTTTGACACATTTTCTTCTGGCCATTTTCATGTTTTTTTATCTTTAAATAGTTATACTTCATATACAACTTTATATTCTGCTTTTAAGAGTTAATGTTAAATACTTTCTGTATTATACTTCATGAATATAACTTCTGTGTTTTCTCAGCTTTTTTAATGAATTTCTGATACTTTCATGACCATTTTCATAATATTGTTTCCAGTATTGGTATATTATAAACTATTTTTGAACAAAATTAGGCAGAAGTCTTCGTTGACATATATGAATATTCTTAGATTTTCAAAAGGGAACCACTGAGTCAAAGACATTGAAATGGGAAGTTGTGGATGCATATTATTAAATTGCTTTGCAAAAATCTGTCTGTTAACACTTTGCCCAGTAGGTCTGAGTGCCCAGCCTACATTTTTGTCATTTTTGAGAAATATAGACTGAAAGTTTGTGTCCCCTGCATTGTTTCTGTGTTTAAGCCTAACCCCTAAGATAATGGTCTTTGGAGGTGGGTCTTTGGGAGATGATTAGGTCATGAGGGTGAAACCTTCATGAATGGGATTCATGCCTTTATAAGAAGAGACAGGAGAGAGATGATGCCTGTCCCTGTCATGTGACCATCTGCAAACCAGGAAGATGGTCCTCGCCAGGAATAGAATCTGGCAGAAAATCTATTTCTCAGCCTCCAGAACTGTGTGAAATAAATGTTTGCTATTTAAGCCACCCAGACTAACACATTGTTTTTTTTTTTTATACTTTGATAAGGTAAATTTTCTTTTTTATTGCTAGTGCACCCAAACCTTTATTTGTAAACTAATCCCTCTTTCCTTTTTTATGTGTTGGTATGTACTGTTTATACAGTAATGACCTTAACTCTTTGCCACTTTTGTTGCCGACTTTTCCCCATTTATTTTTTGTGTATATTTTTAATTTTTATGAAGTTTAGCTTTTATGGCTTTAATCTATTGATCTTTCATTGTGATTTCTGCGACTGTTTTAAAATATTTTTCGTCCAGAAATTAGAAATATTTACCATGACTTTCTCTAGGCTTTTTTGTTTTAATGCTTCTAAATTTTCAATCCAAATGAAATGTAGTTTGGTATATGTGTGCTATGAGGTGAGGATCACGAAGATTTTTTTTCTAAGCAGCTAGCCAGTAGCTTCAGTACAATTTGTTAAATAAATGATCTCTCCCACCCCTCCTCCACCCTGGTTTGTGATGCCTGCTTTATTATATACTCTTGTTTCTAGACTATCTGTTCAATTTCATTGATCTGTCTGTTCTTATGCCAGCACCACACTGACTTAATTAATGCCATTTTACTTATTTATTCTAATTTATCACTCAAGCCACATTAACAGAAATCAAAATTCACTTATGATCCTGCCCCCACTACAGAAATCTAACTCTTATCCTTTGGCTGTGTTAGTCCTGTTTTCACGCCTGCTTAATTTTTTAGTTATAACAGTTGCATGGATAAAAATTTGTAGTTTTTTAAAGTTCCACAGGTTATTCTCTAATCTTCCAATTTATTAAGTTCTGATGCAGAAAGTACAAGTCACACTAAAGAATTAATATTATAAAAGGGTCTTGATATGCAGATAGCCTCATACACTATATTAGTAATGGTATGTAGTCTATTGCTGACCAGATCGTTTAGACAACTCTATCACTTGTGTGTTACACAAAATGCTTACTATTTCCACTGTACTGAGGATGTGTTTATACATAGAGTGGTGAGTTTATTATGGCATAGCATTTTGCAACTTATGAATAGCATTCTTGCGTTTGTGTAGTTTGGCTTGTCCTGAAGTTCCCAGTAAAATTTCTGCATTGAGAAAATTCAGTTTCATTTGTAAACCACTACAAGTGATCTTCAGGAAACCCTCTTCTTTAACTCAGTTAGGTTCTGAGGTGTCAGCAGTGTGAGTGGAGAAGATAATATAATCTTTGTGCCTGGGATGCAGCAGGGAGGAGTGAATCCCGAGTATGGGGAGAGGGTGAAAGAGTAGTCTGAATGCTATTTCCACTTTCCTGTGTGTTGCCTTTCTGCTTCTGATATAGAAGCCAGTGAAAAGTCATCACGGATATTTAAAATGAACACCTTATAACACCTGGGCAACAATTTCTTTAAAAGTGGAAAAATTGCTATATTCAATATTCTCTCTGGCCTTTACACAAAAATTGTAGTTCAGAAATTCGTGGTGGTCCTTGGTATAATTCTCAGATGTGAGAAAGATCCCTACACACTTGTAGACTTTCCCCATAAGGGACCAATATGTGTTAGTACTTAAAGTACAGCTACTGAAGAGTCTGCTAAGCTTGGGAGACTGGAAAGATACAGGACAGTATATTGTATTTCAGGGAAAGTTACAACTGGGAAGTGAT